AATATCAAACTGAACATTATTTTTCTACGATTTATACCATTTTTTGGGCAGTCCAATTCCCATGGATGAAGTTTGAAAATTCAATTAAATTTTTGAATAATTCGAGTTAAATCACCAACAAAAGTAAGATTTGCTCTACTACATTAAAATGAAATAAACATTCTTCCTTGATACGATTATAAATATATCCCTTAGGTTTAGGAGGTGTTGTATCCATTAAATTACAAAGTATTATACACTGAATTATATAATGAAAAACACAGCTTTTTTTACTAAATTTATTTGGAATAAAGAATCTTAAATAATTTGTTTTTTCGACAAATATTTAATAATATAAAAATGAAATTTATTATTTCAAAATAATAAAATAAAATTTGGGAAGTGTTGTGTCCAAATAATTCAAATTATTTTTTTTTCCAATATCAAACTGAACATTATTTTTCTACGATTTATACCATTTTTTTGGGCAGTCCAATTCCCATAGATGAAGTTTGAAAATTCAATTAAATTTTTGAATAATTCGAGTTAAATCACCAACAAAAGTAAGATTTGCTCTACTACATTAAAATGAAATAAACATTCTTCCTTGATACGATTATAAATATATCCCTTAGGTTTAGGAGGTGTTGTATCCATTAAATTACAAAGTATTATACACTGAATTATATAATGAAAAACACAGCTTTTTCAAAATTATAAAATAAAATTTGGGAAGTTGTGTCCAAACAATTGAAATTCTTTTTTTTTTTCCAATATCAAACTGAACATTATTTTTCTACGATTTATACCATTTTTTTTTTGCGCAGTCCAATTCCCATAGATGAAGTTTGAAAATTCAATTAAATTTTTGAATAATTCGTACGAATATTGGGCCTAATCGCACTTTGCCATGTCGAAATGCATATTAACTACTTTTTCGAGCCATTAATCATTCGAATAAATTTTAGAATCGCGTTCGCCGGCGCCAATAGCCTTTTTGGGTGATTTACGATCGAAGTTTTAAAACGAAACGATGTCGGGCGGTGGTCGATCCAGGCAGGGGTCCCAGGCTTTTCGGCCGCACGGGCAGATAATAGAAATCCGGGGGAACCCCCTGATTTTGTTGTTTCAGTATGTGTGTGCCTTTCTATCCCTTTTCTCTCACTCTCTCTTTACCACCCTCTTGTCCTTTCCTCCCTCGCGCTCTTTTTTTTTGTGCCCTGCCGACTCGATAATTATCGTTGTCCCCGTGCGCTGATTGCCATCGTTTCCGCAAGTTATGCAATATAATTTATATCGCGTACACGCCGAACTTCCGGTAGACCTGCGCCTATCTCCGATCCGGATCTTCACGTGCCTCCATCTATTAACCTTTTTAAATACCATAGTTTGTATATCGGCTCCCCCGTATTTAACCTAATTACTTCTAATTTTGTTGCAGGCATGTCAGTCAGGATTTATGATTTCTTCATAATATAACTTATAATGTAATACTTGAGGATTTCTTTATAAATTAGAAAATATTATGCTGAGAAAATTTTGATATTGCATGGACGGAGATGATGTTTCCAATATAATACATTATCTTGACGCAATTGACACTTGAAATATTGTATAATTTTTTGTACTTTAAATTAACTTTGATAATAAATTGAAATACTTGATTTTTATATGTATTCGATGAATGGAGGTGTTGTGTCCAAATGAAAATGTTTGAAATCGTCGATTGTTAATTAAGCCCTCTAGTTTAGTGTGCGGGCGAAAATTTCAATGCATCAATTCTGATCCCATGGTAGCAACAAAACAAAAGCTCGGAGAGCAATTGTTGCGGGGATCCGACCCGAAATCCTGCGGCACCGATGAAAACGTATTTATGCAAATGGACGCGACCCGGGTCCCGTTTCGGGACACCCCGAAATAATAACTTAAATTCCCGATAATTACGGAATCTTCGGCGTCGGGATGAATTAACTATGTGTTGCGTACGTGCGGGAATTTGAATAATTGCAAATTCATAAAGAGGACTCTGCCTCTCTCTCTCATCTTCTCTACAACCCTTCTGACTGTGTTTGCGCGTACCCAATGTAAATATTTGGTCGGAGGGTCAAGTTTTATGCGCGGCACGATAATGCGAAATAATTTCATTACTGCGAAACGTAGAGAAGGAGCATGGATAGGTTTTAGTAAAAGAGAGAAAGAGAGATATAGAAGGGAAGCAAGGAAATTAGTATTCAGATGAAAACTTTGCGGCTGCTTGGGCCAATGAAAAATGCAAATCTGTATCGATGTAATCTCCACTTAATACATATTCAACTGCAGTCTCTTTTCAGGATAATAGCATGCATATGCATTAGATGGGGAAACATTAAAATTAAGCTCAAGAAATATTCGGATTTCTTACCTTTCTTTAGTTCTCCAGTTCAGCTTTTGCGGACTATTTCGACTCAAAGAAACATAGTTCCATTCTGAAACAAAAAAAAAAAATTAGCTACAACGAAAAGTTATTTTAAGAAAAACCTATTTATTTTTATATGAGCGTAGATTTAGTATCAAATAATCCAAAATACAATTTGATAGGAATTGAAAAAGGGGGGTGTTGTGTCCAATAGTAAAAAATAAATTGTAAATCAGATTTATCTCTAGAAATTCATCATTGCTGCAACTGAAAATTTCGAAAAGTTTCCGTCAAAAGTTTAATTAATTCTTGCGACGTTTTCTTCCGTTCTTTATTTCCTTTTCCCTTCACTACTCGTAAGTTTTCCTAAGTAAATATTCCCGATGAATCGCGAAACTTGCAATGAAATAAATAAATAAATAAATAAAATACGCTCACTGATCTGCATGCAAGAATCGCCCGAAATAACGATGAAAAAGAAACGAACTTTGCAAATTTGATTTGATAATAATAATAATAAAACGACAAAGTCGACGGAAACAATTTCCTCCCTCTTTTCGCATTACTTCTGCCGTAATGTGTTTATATATTCCCACATTTCGTCCTTTCCGCACCAAAAAAAAAATCGTATTTTCGTGCTTTGCGGACAGGAAGGAAATCGTTTTAAACTTTGTGTGTGTGCGTAATTAATTCCGCATGCCGGAATGAATCATTTTTATGCAACGAGGCTGAAGCGTGTCTTTCACGAAAATTACGTTACGTCGCACAGCACGCGACATCTATTACATAATAATAACAACAACAACAATAATAACAGTGATGATTCAGGAAATTAAACGAGAAATTATTATAAAAAGAAAACTTTTGAAGAAATGCGAATTAAAAGCGCTGATTGCATAATTCATAGTAGTTTGGTGCAGTTATGCGGGGTATTCTGCTGTGACCCGAAAAATGAGCTCTAATTAATAAAATTTCATCCCGTAAAATTAATTATGCGAATATTCGTTTCGTTTTTCTCCTCTTGTTTCGTTCGTTTCATATTAAAATCCGCTTCGGATTTAATTATTTTCGAACATGATTGAAATCGCCTTCGATATGTAAAATGATGTATTTTTTGTTGTGGTTGAATGAATTTGCGAATGTAATGAGCTACAGATAGTTACGTTCGAAAGTAACAACAAGGAATTGGTCGAAGTTAAGTTTTGGAAATTACACGGCTGTAAGTGGCGTTGTCGCGGTTTCATAACAGCTTGCATAATGCGATAAACCGTTTACGAAGTTATTAACCGTGTTGATTGTTGCTGGAGTCTCGTGTTTCCACCGCCTCCCCGGGGGTGATGCAAACATATTCTGGTAAAGCTGCTAATGGACCCACATTTGATTATCATGAAACTGTTATAAAACTGGATTCCTCTTAATGGAGGATTGCACGATCTTACGCTTTTTAATCAACTCACATTACCAAAGCAAATACGAATTGCTATGATGATGGTTAGGTAATTCGCAATTATATTTTGGTGGAAACTTGCATGGGAAATATGCAGACACTATCTACTTATATTATTGCTTATATATTGCTTTTCGGTTCAATTTATATGCGCAATTTTTTTCCCTGGCTCCGCGTATGTCTCTTTCAATTTCCCATCAGCGAAATGGATTTTGGAGCGGAATGGGGTTGTGTATGCGGGAGAGAGGGTGGTAGTGGTGGTTTGGGTTTGGGTTTTAGAAGACCGAATCAAGGTGGATAGATTTGCGTATTGCATTATCCGATGGCAAATAGCTGCAGCTCGGAATGGAACGGTTTTGCAGGTTTTGGGTTAATCAATAATGGCCATTAAATCGGGCTCGATTACCATTCATAACCCTTAACACTAATAATAAACAAGATAAGTTCGATGCGGTAATGAATTGCAGTTTAATGCGGACCCCGGCGCAATTTACGACCGTCCGAAATTCGCCCCTGAAATCCCCCAGAGTAACCATCCGCTCTCTCCTCTCTTCTCTCTACTTGGATGCAGAACTTCTCTCGCTGACCAAACCAAATATTGAAGTTTCTATATTGGATGTTCTCAGCAACGAAAATATTACATGGGATACATGCAAATACCTAACGTACTTTTGTTTGTTCTTTCATAACCATCCTTCTTTCCAATTTTCATATCATACTGCAATATAATAAAATTTAATTTCTTCAACTTTAACTTCAAATTTCAACAAATACTATAAAATTTAATTTAATCACAGTTTTCATTAATTAATCATTGAATATATTAGAAAATAAATTAATTCATTTTATGTAGTCAATATAAAGGAAATTACAAAAGTAAAGCAGAATTTATAGAAGATTTAAAATAATAAAAATATAGTAAAGATAAATTAATTGAGAGCTACAAAATTGTAAATGAATTATGTTGAAACAAAATTTCATTAAAATGTGATCAAATATCGATATTTTTATAGTTTGTTGAAGCGATAAAAACCAATTATCGTGGTGGAACGAAGCAAATATGGAAGGTTGTGAGATTGTATGTTGAATTGTTTTTTCTTTTGGTGTACTGAAATACGCGAAAAGCCGAAGGCAATTGATGTAAACGAAACAGACGTTCGGCGCGCGCTATGAAAAATTTGATGAATAATTGAAGCAACCCGTACTAATGAAGAATCAATACGCGTGTGTCTCCTATGCACCTTCAACCAATATCCACAGATTAATGAAATTGAACAAACAAAAAAAAATACGCGGTAAATTTTAAAGTTTAATATTTTTTCTTTTCCGCACATACAAACAACGTATATTACGGCCTTTCCGTTAACCAGTTCCATCCAGTTTCGTAAAGCCCGAAAAATAATTACCTCGTAACAGGTGCGCGCGAAGTTTGCATAAAATTGCATTACGTTGCCGTTTTACTCTATTTTCTCGTAAGTTATTTTTACCGTTTTCTTTCTCTCCATTATGCACGTTATATTTCTTTTTTTTTTCTTCTTCTTCTACTACTTCTTTTACGCGACGGAAGTTGATTTACGTGGATGGTGGAAAAGAAGGGCCTTTAATATTTTAGTTTCGCGAATATGCACCGTGACCAAATGTAATGTAATGCTAGGGGCCATTACGAGACGTTTCCAATATAGTGGATGCCATATTTATGGCCGTAATTTCCCTGTGCGGATGGAAACGGTAGGTCGGATGGTCGTTTCGGTCGGTTTTGGGGGGCTGGTGGTGGCAGAGGCATAGGCGGTGGCGGCGGCAGACGGTTTTTACAATTTATCTTATTCGAATTGGCAATTGGCGCGAGGGAAGGCATCATTCAAATTTGCGATGTCGCAATTAAATCTCGTCGCGCTGCAATTACGATTGCAAATGTACGTGAGTACGTGATCGTGGACCGCAGTAATTATTAATAGATGGACGCGCTCGTATCCCTCGTGATCCTGAAAATAACCGGAAACGCATACACATATGTTTTTTTTTATTTGTATACATAATCGCTTAATCCTATTCGATTTCCTCTATTTATCGCGGTTTATAGTCAACTCTATCAAAAAAATAAGGACTGTAAATATCATTGCTATTGCGTTTTCACAATTATTTTCAAACATTCATTCAAAAAATTGATATTTATCGTTGATGGTAAAAAATATATTTTTTTTCAAGAAAGTGATTAAAAATTATCTTTTAACACTTTGCGAACATGCGGCGAATATATCCGCCATTTCCCGTATAAATTGTGTTACCGAAATACGCCACAATATGATGATCCAGTCACAATTGAAAGTGACATAGAAATATGTAATTGTTTGATTGCATGAAATTGCAGTTGTATTTAAGTTAGTCTATAGACAATTAACATGTTTTGTTGAACAAAGTAGTTTAGATTTTGCTGAAATTGAGTGAAACTCGTGTGTATATTTTTTTCTTGTGTAAAACCGGGAGTAAATATTTGTCTACTAACAAAACGAAAAAAGTGAAGAAGAAAACAAGGGGATGGATGGAGTGAGGGACTCTTTTTGCGCCGTTGTTGTTGTTGGACGTGTGTCGTGTTTAATTAAAGAACCAAATATTTGCATGCTCTTCACCGGAATTGAGTTGCAGTGTTGATTCGGGGTCGAAAGTTTGGACAAAGGGCCTGCATACACGGACAGCAACCCACACACAAAAAAAAATTATATATACAGAAGCTGGGGATGAATTGGAATATTCGGATGCCTTCAGCTTGTTAAACAAGAGGGTCAATGGGTCAGACCTTTTCGCTTATTTATTTATATATTTCAGATACAAACGCATTTCCCTTTCCATGAACGTGAGGCGAAAACTATATAGATTTATTTTTATTTCTTCCTTTTGAAGCGAAAATGAAGGGATAGAAAAAATATATATATATAAAAATAGGAGAAACAACAAGGTTGAAGTGGATGCTTTCTGATCCGTAAAGAAATTGATTTGTTCCTTTTTTGTGTTGGCATGGTTTTGTGCGGTGGAAGAGTTTCGGATTGGGATTTTCTTTTTGAGCGGTCCGCATGATTTGTGTGCGCCGGAAGTCCGTTTCCAGTGCGGAATTAGGTGCGAGTTTTGAGTTATGGGCCGAAGGTGTTGTAGGTTATTAAGTCCGCTTCCCGTGGACGGCCCTTTTGCATACATACATACACTTAGGCATTCCCTCTGTGCCAACGAGACCATCGCCCTCAGAACTACCTACTATTACTACAACCACCATCCAAACCGAAAGCAAAACCCAACCCTATCCCATCCTGTCTGTTTATGATCTGAAGCACAGCCTCTGGACAATCCGTGTCCGTTGATTGGGGAGCTTACGTCCTAAATAAACAACTCTTATTATTGCGGACCAACAAACTCTACCTACAACCTACTGCTTCATCTACAACTTCCCATCATCATCACCTATGTCCTCCAACCTATTTGCTAGCAAATTCTGTTTGATTATCCGCAGTTAGTGTTTTACACAATCGCGTATATCGCTCTAAAATCAATTGATTTCACTTCGGCTACAACATAATCAGGCCGTTCGATATCTGGCGGATGCGCCGGGTAATTCGCACAACACACGTGCACGC